GTAAGGGAAAGCAGTCCATACTTAATTGCTCTCTGGATGTGCCACACATACCACTTGCACATCTCCATTTCCTTCCTTCCCCTCCTTCCCTCCCTCCCTCTGTAAGAAAATGATGTGTTGGCTGGGCACGGTGGCTCATGCCTGTAATCCCAGCACTTTGGGAGGCCAAGGCGGGCAGACCACAAGGTCAGGAGATCAAGATCATCATGACCAACATGGTGAAACCCTGTCTCTACCAAAAATACAAAAAAATTAGCTGGGTGTGATGGCACACACCTGTAGTCCCAGCTACTTGGGAGGTTGAGACAGAACTGCTTGAATCCAGGAGGCAGTGAATTGAATCCAGAATCCAGACAGAACTGCTTGAATCCAGCGAGCTGAGATTGCGCCACTGCACTACAGCCTGAGCAACAGTATGAGACTCTATCTCAAAAAAAAAAAAGAAAAAAGAAAAAAAAGAAAGAAAAGAAAATGATGTGTTATTGAGGCCCATATTTGCAACTACCTAAATATCTGGCTTAAGAGAAAGGTGAATAAAGTACTTAGGAGTGAATAGTTAACACATTTCTTACATGAATACTCTCAAATATTGAACTGATTAGGCTGTGCAATCTTTGGGGAGTAGGGAAGACAGGGTCTCTGTCACCCAGGCTGGAGTGCAATGGTGCCATCTTGGCTCACTGCAGCCTCAACTTCCTGGGTTCAAGCAATCCTCCCACCTCAACCTCCCGAGTAGCTAGGACTATAGGTACACACCATTAAGACCAACTAATTTTTTTTTTTTTTTGAGATGGAGTTTCGCTCTTGTTACCCAGGCTGGAGTGCAATAGCATGATCCCGGCTCACCGCAACCTCCGCCTTCTGGGTTCAAGCAATTCTCCTGCCTTAGCCTCCTGAGTAGCTGGGACTACAGGTGTGCACCACCATGCCCAGCTAATTTTTGTATTTTTAGTAGAGATGGGGTTTCACCTTGTTGACCAGGATGGTCTCGATCTCTTGACCTCGTGATCCACCCGCTTCAGCCTCCCAAACTGCTGGGATTATAGGCATGAGCCACAGCGCCCAGCTAATTTTTTGTTTGTTTGTTTGTTTGTTTTGAGACAGTTTCGCTCTTGTTACCCAGGCTGGAGCGCAATGGCGTGATCTCGGCTCACTGCAACCTCCACTTCCTGGGTTCAGGCAATTCTCCTGCCTCAGCCTCCCTAGTAGCTGGGATTACAGGCACATTGAAGCATGCCTGGCTAATTTTTTTTTTTTTTTTGTGAGATGGAGTCTTGCTCTTGTTGCCCAGGCTGGAGTCCAATGGCCCCATCTTGGCTCACTGCAACCTCTGCCTCATGGGTTCAAGTGATTCTCCTGCCTCAGCTTCCCCAGTAGCTGGTATTACAGGAGCCTGCCACCATGCCCGGCTATTTTTTGTATTTTTACTAGAGATGGGTTTTCACCATGTTGGCCAGGCTAATCTCGTACTCTTGGCCTTAAGTGATCCACCTGCCTCTGCCTTCCAAAGTGCTAGGATTACAGGCATGAGCCACCATGCCCGGCTAGGCTGTGTAATTTAAAAAAATACAGTAATTAAAAAAAAAAATTGGAATGAATGTGAAAACCTAAAATTCTATGGCTTTTCTCCCTCTGCCTTCATACAGATCTCTTCAGCTATGTAGCTCTTAGACAGCTGGTCAAACTTCTGAGTCACAGTCAGGAAACAAGTTGTTATTAGTTCTTACATTACAGTGAGCCAATAGACTTTGTAGTGCTGCACAATGGGGGACCCTTTTTAGTTCAGGCTCAGGCTGATTGTTACTTCTTTTTTTTTTAATCAGCCAGAAAGCAACTAAGTTAAAAGCCTTTCCTCCCTGTTGCCACAGAGTAACCATGAACTCAAGAGCAAGCAATACAGGCAACTAGTAGGAAAACACTGAGCTCCAGCATTTCAAGAATAGAGGTGCTATTCATGGCAACAAATAAGACAGGCAGCAAGCAGTTTTGCAGAGTATTTTGTTGGAAAACTAATCCTTCTTATTTAAAAAAAATGTCCACTGGCTGGGCACGGGGGCTAACGTCTATAATGCCAGCACTCTGGGAGGCTGAGGCAGGTGGATCACCCAATGTCGAGAGTTCCAGACCAGCCTGACCAACATGGAGAAACCTCTTCTCTACTAAAAATAGAAAATTAGCCAGGTGCGGTGGTGTGCGCCTGTAATTCCAGCTACTTGGGAGGCTGAGGCAGGAGGATTTCTTCAACCTGGGAGGCTGAGGTTGCGGTGAGCCAAGATTGCGCCACTCTGTCCTGGGACACAAGAGCGAAACTCCGTCTCAAAAAAAAGAAAAATGTCCACTGATGATGCTCTTTCTGTAGAAGTGAAGGGAATTATCTGAAATTAGAGGTAGGGCCTTTAGACCCTTATGGCAGAGAACAGTGTGAGAGAAAAGAGCTGACAGTAGTATCCAAAAGGAGGCAAACCCAGACCAAACATTTCCTGCATAATAATTTCCAATCCTTGGTAAGGAGAAGTAGAAATTAATATCAGATCCCTACTACATAGTACTTTTTATTTTGTTTGGTTTAATTTTTTCTTTTTTTTCTGAGATGGAGTTTCGCTCTTGTTACCCAGGCTGGAGTGCAATGGCGTGATCTTGGCTCACCGCAACCTCCGCCTCCTGGGTTTAGGCGATTCTCCTGCCTCAGCCTCCTGAATAGCTGGGATTACAGGTACGTGCCACCATGCCTAGCTAATTTTTTGTATTTTCAGTAGAGACGGGGTTTCACCATGTTGACCAGGATGGTCTTGATCTCTTGACCTCGTGATCCACCTGCCTCGGCCTCCCAAAGTGCTGGGATTACAGGCTTCAGCCACCGCGCCTGGCCCCCTTTGTTTAATTTTTTCTTTTGAGACGAAATCTTGCTCTTTTGCCCAGGCTGGAGTGCAGTGGCATGATCTTAGCTCACTGCAACCTCTGCCTCCCAAGTTGAAGGAATTCTCATACCTCAGCCTCCCAAGTAGCTGGGATTACAGGTGTCTGCCATCACACCTGGCTATTTTTCGTATTTTTAGTAGAGACAGGGTTTTGTCATATTGGCCAGGCTGGTCTCGAACTCCTGACCTCAGATGATTTGTCTGCCTTAGCCTCCCAAGTGCTGGGATTACAGGTATGAGCCACCGTGCCAGGCCATGTATAGTATTTATATTATCTCATGTTAGATATACTTCATTTACCTAAAGAGCAAACAATATGTAGTCTCATTCAATTGTGTGTGTTTGGGTATTCTCAGTAAGTTAATTTGATTTTCTTCTTTAAGTTAATGAGTGCTTTTAGGTATTGCCCTAGTGTAGACTGGTTGGATGCCTCCTTTTCTCCTACAGACAAGATTCCTGTGGCCAGAATGATGGATCAGTAGCTTTTCTAGTTCATTCCTATCTGGATTTGTAATATATCAGACTTGTACATCTCTGTTGTCTCTTAATTGAGGACAATAGTGACAGTAGTAATTAGTAGTAGTTAATATTATGGAAAACTTACTAAGCACCAGCCACTGTGCTAAGCACAGTAAGTACATTAGCTTACATCAATCTTAAACTATGCCCATTTTACAGATGAAGAAACTGAGACTTACAGAAGTTAAGGATCAGTTATTAAGTGACAAAGCCAGGATTAGAGCATATGACTATTTGACATGAAAGCCCCTCATTTTTAACTACTTTAATACTATCAATAATTATAACTGATAATATCAATAATACAGTTTATTTTTTATTTTTTTTAGAGACAAGGTCTTACTCTGTTGCCCAGACTGGGGTGCAGTGGCACAATCATAGCACACAGCAGGCTCAAACTCCTGGGCTCAAGCGCTCTTCCCACCTCAGTTTCCTGAGTAGCTGGAACTACAGGTGCACTCCACTGCACCTAGCTTATTTCTTCATGTTTTTGTAGAGATGGGGGTCTTATTTTGTTGGCCAAGCTGGCATTTCATGTTAACAGCATTTAATACTTTCTAAAAAGTACATTTAAATGCTTCCTCAATTCATTTTCTTAGTGATTTTAGGAAGAAGGTAGAAAAGTAGAATGGGCATTTTCATCTTCATGTTGTATAGATAAGATCTTGAGGTTTAAGAGATTGAGAAATTTGCCTATGATTATTATCTTCTAAATAATAAATCAGGAATCAGGTAAACAATCTATATATTTTAATTCCAAGTTCAGTGTACCTTTCACTAAAACAAAATTGAATTTAGTTAATCCAATGGCTTTGTTGTTATCAGCAACGAGATAAAAAGATTCTTTTACTCCTGGGATGTTTGTATTTATCTAATTTTATTTTTGAGACAAGGTCTTGCACTGCCGCCCAGGTTGGAATGCAGTGGCATGATAACAGCTCACTGCAGCCTTGATCTCCCAAACTCAAGCAATCCTCTCACTTCAGCCTTCCGAGCAGCTGGGACTACAGGTGAGAGCCACCAGCTCCAGCTAATTTTCGTAGTTTTTGTGGAGAGGGTTTTGCCATGTTGCCGAGGCTGGTCTTGAACTCCTGGGTTCAAACCATCTACCTCAGCCTCCCAAACTGCTGAAATTACAAGCATGAGCTGCCATGCCCAGCCCAGGGATGTTTTTAATATTCATCTGGTAAATTTAAAAGCCCACATTGAACAAAAATACCTTATTAAATAGGCCAGGATTTCCCTACTTCAGCACTACAGACATTTTGAGCCAGATGACCTTCTCGTGACTGTCTTGTGAGTTATATGATGTTTAGCAGCATCTCTACCTATCAGATGTTAGTAGCACCTATTTGAGAATTACTGAAATACACAAATAATTAAATCGATGGCTAAAGTGCATCTAAGTAGAAATCTACCAGTGTTAGTATTACTGATCATTATTTATAAATAAAAGTTATTTTATGAGAAGGTATTTTATGCTTTAAGCAGGAAAAAGGTTTCGACATTTTTGCATTTCCTGAAATAAAATTCCACTGTGAATTTTTAAAATTCTGTACTTACTCTTCGTAACTCATCAGAAATGAGAAATGGATCACAAAAAGAATCTAAACATTTAACAATATGTCCATTGTCTCGTACAATATCTTCATCATATAACCGATGAAAAAATGACATTGAAAGCTGTGTGCAAGGAACATTTATAGCTTCAATTTTTTTCACTTCAGTTCCTGAAAAAAGATATAAGAATGGAGATAGAAAAATTAATTTGGTATTCTCAACTATTTCCAAAATAAATCACTATGCAGAAATTCTAAGAAGTTAAGAAATATGACATTTTTTATATATTTAAAATATATATTAGTTTATGAATTTTATTAAATTCTTATTTTGCAGCTTCTTCATTTCTGTTAATCATTAAGAGTTTATGCCATGCGTGGTGGCTCATGCCTGTAATTCAAGCACTTTGGAGGCCAAGGAGGGCAGATCACTTGATGTCAGGAGTTCAAGACTAGCCTGGCCAACAAGGTAAAACCCCATCTCTACTAAAAATACAAAAATTAGCCAGGTGTGGAAGCACATGCCTGAATCCCAGCTACTAAGGAAGCTGAGGCAGGAGAACTGCTTGAACCTGGGGAAGGGGTGGAGGTTGCAGTGAGCCAAGATTGTGCCACTGCACTCCAGTCTGGGCAACAGAAACTCTGTCTCAAAAAAAAAAAAAATGAGTTTATAACAAAATCTCTCCATTTTAGGACTAGACAACTAGACGAATACTTAAAAATGAAATACATTAAAAAAATGTAGTAGAGAATTCTTAACGCATATATTATCAGAATTGCCTATAAAAGCATAGGAATTGCTTTGTATGATTTTGGATTGATATTATGCTTAATGATGTACAACTCACAGTTTTTTTTTTTTTTTTGAGACAGAGTTTCACTCTTGTTGCCCAGGCTGGAGTGCAATGGTGTAATCTTGGTTCACCACAATCTCTGCCTCCCAGATTCAAGTGATTTTCCTGCTTCAGTCTTCTGAGTAGCTGGGATTACAGGCATGCGCCACCACGCCTGGCTAATTTTGTATTTTTTTAATAGAGATGGGGTTTCTCCATGTTGGTCAGACTGGTCTCGAACTCCCAACCTCAGCTAATCTGTCCGCCTCGGCCTCCCAAAATGCAGGGATTACAGGCATGAGCCACCATGCCCAGCCACAAAACTTTTAATTGATGGGCACTTGTAAAGTCCTTGAGTATATCTTGAACACATTTTCTCTTCATTTAAAAATTTCTTGGCTGGCTGCGGTGGGTCACCCCTTTAATCCCAGCACTATGGAAGGTCGAGGCAGGTGAATCACTTGAGGTCAGGAGTTCGAGACCAGCCTGGCTAACTTGGTGAAACCCCATCTCTACTAAAAATATAAAAATACAAAAACTAGTTGCATGTGGTGGCGGGCTCCTGTAATTCCAGCTACTCAGGTGCCTGAGGCAGAAGAATCACTGTAAACCTGGGAGGCAGAGTTTACAGAGTTGAGATGGTGCCACTGCACTCCAGCCTGGACGACCAAATGAGACTCCATCTCAAACAAACAAACAAAAAATTTCTCCCTTGTGATCTCATTCATAGTGTTTACTACAAAAAACAGTTTTCCAAGTGAAGGTAAATTTCATATAAGGACTTAATCAAATGATCACAAATTCAGAATTACAGAAAATCAAAATAATGGCATTTTGTCTATTTTTCTCTTATAGACCTACTTTTTCCCCATCCTCCATCCCCTATCCCACACTTATTTCCTGAATTTATCATTCAGGAATGGATTTTCTGCTACTAGAGGTCCTATTAAATTACAGAAAGTCATAAAGATTAAAATGGATATTTTTATTATTACCTCCATCAATCACTGAATCAGTCTCTATGTACACACATACACACACACTCTCACTTAGATAGAAGGAGGTGGTGTTCTTTTGTTCAAAAGTTCTAAGATTGTAAACCAAGGTGTGGTGGCCCTTGGTGTATCCGTACTCTGGATACATTTGCTGGATCTCTGACCTGAGAAGTAGCTTGTGCTTAAAAAGGGTAATACTGGTGAATGTTTACACTACCTGTTTCGGCTGTCCACTTGAGAGTCATGCTAGGACCTGTTGTTCTATGTCCTGAGCTAGGCTTATGTGGAGGCATGAAGGATGCCTGAAGCCAAGAACTGTGTATGCCTCAGTAATTGCAAAAGCTATGCTGCTAAGTTAAGAAGCTTCCGTTGTTTAGAGGTAAAATCCTCTGAGGGCTTAGATAAACAAAAAAAGGAGACCACAGAAATTGATAAGAGGAGTTCTAGGAATGTTGAAAGACCAAAAGCAAGAGCAGTGTAGAGCCTGATAGTTTCTGAAGATTGGTCAGTGGATACAAGATGAGGGATGGACACTGGGCATGTCATTTTAATTAGTCTACCCTAGCTCTGATTTGGGGAGTGTAAGGAGAGTTTGGATGGTGACAAAATGTGATTAAATTCAAACCACTTAATCTGAGACATGACAATAGCATTTGTTATGGACTGAATTCTGTCACTTCAAAATTTATATACTGAGACATAAAAATAGCATTTTCTATGGACCAAACTCTATGTTGAAGCTCTAACCCTCAATGTGATGGCAATTGGAAATGGGGCCTTTGGGAAATAATTGGGTTTCAGTGAAGCAGAGGGAAGGATGGTCGTGGAACTTCGAAATATGAACTAAGGAGGACATAGTTCAGTCACTGAGTCTGTCACCACTAGAACCCCAAATTCATGTTCTTCTCACATGCAAAATACATTCATTCCATTTCAATAGCCCCACAAACTTTTCTTTTTCTTAGACAAGGTCTCACTCTGTCACCCAGGCTGGAGTGTGGTGATGTGATCATGGCTCACTGTGGCCTCAACTTCCTGGGCTCAAGTGAACCTTCCGCCTCAGTCTTCCAAATAGCTGGGACTACAGGTGTGCACCACCGTGGCCAGATGATTTTTTGTAGAGACAGCGTCTTGCTGCCTTGCTTAGGCTGGTCTCAAAGGCCCGGCTCAAGTGATCCTCTCAAAGCCTTGGGATTGTAAGCGTGAGCCACCTTGTCCTGCTCCCAAAACTTTCACTCATTCCAGTGAAATGAGTGGACTATCAACTCTAAAGTCCAAATCTCTTCTAAATATAAAAATTGGCTATAGGTAGACTTGTGGTATGATTCATCCTAAGGCAAAATTCCTCTCCAGATGTAAATCTGTGAAGAAGGATGAGGTATGTGTTTCCAAAATATACAGGTGGGACAGACATAAGCTAGTCATTTTCATTCCAAAAGGGAGAAACAGGAAATAAGAAAGGGGTGACAGGTATCAAGCAAGCCCTTAACTTAGAAAAGCAAATTCTTTTAGATCTTAAATGCTCAAGGATAATCTTCTTTGGTTTGATACTCTGCTTCTGGACCCAATAGGGTGGCAGTCTTTACCCTGGTGGCTATAGAGCCCTGAAGACTCTGGGTGGCCCAACCTCCAAGATTCCACAGGGCCAACTTAGCCCCCATGCTCTGCAGGGTGGCCTGCCTCCAAGGCTTTGGTTGGAGACCATCTGGCCTGCTGACATGGAGGCTTGGCCCTGATGGCCCTGAAGATAGCTGAATTGCTTCGGGGTCTTTCTAAACTTTTCTTGACGAATAGCACATGTTCACAGCCCAATAGCTCTATGGTCCAGTCTTGTAGGATCTAAGAAGTCCAACAGTCTTGCTTCATCTCATCTGATTTCTTTTGGCCCCTATAATTCAAACTAGCAGAGTCTTTGCTGCTGATGTAATTCCATCTCTATTCCTGACTTCTGTTGAAATGGCTGATTAAGTCCATGAGTCACACCTGTGATCTCTTTATCAAATGGCTGTTCAGTGTTTTGAACAGTATTCTCTTCAGAATAAACTTTCTCATTTTTTATAATAAGGACAGGTTGAAAACTTTCCAGATCTTAAAATGTTGGTTCATTTTTTTTATTAAAAATTCCCTCTGCAATTCATCTCTCTTTTTTCACACTTTACTATAAGCAAGATATTACTTTAACACTTTGCTTAGAAATCTCCTCAGCTAAATCTCCAATTTCATCACTCACAAGTTCTACCTTCCATAAACAACAGAAAACAATTTATCCAAGTTCTTTGCCACTTTATAACAAAGATCACCCCAGTTTCCAATAGCATATTCCTTATTTCCATGGCAGGTGTCACCAGAATTGCCCATAATGTTCATATACATACACCTCAAGCATCTACTCATTATTTAGTTCCAAAGTTACTTCCACATTCTTAGGTATTTGTTATAGCAGCACCTCACTTCTCAGTACCAAGATCTGTCTTAGTCAGCTTGGGCTGCTATAACAAAATGCCATAGTCTGGGTTGCTTAAACAACAGACATTAATTTCTCAAAGTTCTGAAGGCTAGAAAGTCCAAGATCAAGGTCCAGATGATTCATTTGCTGGTGAAGGCACTCTTCTTGGCTTGCAGAAAGCTGCCTTCTGTGTACTCCAGATGGCAGACGGCAAGCTCTAGTGTTTTTACCTATTATAAAGGAACTAAACCCATCATGAGGGCCCCACCTTTGTGCCCTCATCTAAACTTAATTATCTTACAAATGCCCCATTTCCAAAAACCATCACATTGAAGGGTTAGGGATTAAACATAGGAATTTGGGGGTTAGGGCACAACTCACTCCATAGCACATGCTATCTTTTTATGTAGGAATGTCATTAAATTATGTCCCCAGCATTTATAAAGTATGTAATGCATCATTATCATCACATACAGAAAGAATACATTTTTCCCCTAATACTAGCATTATAATACACCGGATGCCTCCTTATTATTTGGTGTCTTAAGTTAGTACTTTTCTGGTAACTCCATCAGCGTGGAAGTGACAGAGGCAGGAGAGTAGAGTGGTCAAGGTCTTGAATTCTGGAGCCTGGATTTGCATCTCAAATCTGCTCACTCAGCTGTGTCAAACTGCACAAATTACTTAACTTATGCCTCTGACTATTCATTTGTAAAATAGTGACATATAATAATACCTCTCCTGAGTTGTTTTATGAATGAAAGGAAGTAATGTGTATGATACCCTTAGCTCAGCACATAGGAAGCATCCATTATGTGTTATTAAAAAACGACAAAGTGTGTCTAAACATAGGAGCTATGGCGGCTGGCCGAGAGGATAAAACAGCACTGACAACTGGCAATCTTTAGGGAGTGCAGCACAGTGAAGGAGGTTCCATCATCACTTTCTTTAGAACGGGTTCACTTGCCAAAAGAATGTCTCTTCACCTATTTTAAAAAGCTGCTTATTTTGCTTTAAAAGGGCCCCAGAGGAAAGTAAGAGGGGTTAGGGGTATAGCAGAAAAAGAAAAAGTAAGAGGAGATAAAAATGAGCTAATGGAAGAGTACTAACAAGCCACTAGAATTTTCACTTCTGAAATGGAGTGTTATTATTCCTCTGCCCTATTTTCAGAGTATTTATAATGCATCAAATGAGGCACATGTGGTATTTTTGAACCTATTTTTGCAATTTTTTTTCAAAAATTAGTGAAGAGTTAGTGCTATTTTGTGTATGTACTAATATGGGGAGAGGGTTGAGCACTTATTTCAGTGAACTTTATCTTTCAAATAGATTGACTTGAGTTACTGTAAACATGTTTTATAAACACTGTGATACGTGGCTCTGATTATTTCCTTCTGAAAATTTTGAGTCGGGTAAATATATTTTCTCAGATACTCAGTTTAATTTTGTAAGCAGTCTGAAGATCACGTTGTACCAGCTTTTTGCTCTATAAATTTTGCAGTAGTCTTTAGCCAAAAGCAATAAAATGTGACCTACTAAGTCTAATATCATAAACTGCTTGTAATCTTGTTCTTGACTCATACTTTGTTACTTTTGTGTAAAGGTACTAGACTTCCATGAGAATATAACGTAGCAACTTACCAAAATACATCCCCAAACAAAAAAACACCAACTTTAAAATCAATTTGTTTTCTTGAGTATAAATCCATACCACCAATCAGACTCTCCTTCTAAATGGAGCTTTTATTCATTCTGTTGCCAAGATACCTTAACCTAGAATTTAAAATATAGCTTTCCTATTTTTTTCCCCAAAATAGTCTATTATTAACTCTGCTTTCTTCCTTGACCTGAGAGTTATGGAAGGGATTTAAATGAGTGTTACTAAGTGTTTAAGTGTTTGGGTAATTTTCTTAAAATTTCTGGCTCTTTTAATGTATTTTCATAATATATTATGATAATATAATCTAGCTAGGCATGGTGGCTCACACCTGTAATCCCACTTTGGGAGACTGAGGCGGGTGGATCACTTGAGGTCAGGAGTTCGAGACTAGCCTGACCAACATGGTGAAACCTTGTCTCTACTAAAAATACAAAAATATATTGGGCATGGCAGGCACCTGTAATCCCAGCTACTTGCGAGGCTGAGGCAGAAGAATTCCTTGAACCTGGAAGGTGGAGGTTGCAGTGAGCCAAGATCATGCCACTGCATTCTAGCCTGGGTGACCAAGTGAGACTCCATTTCAAAAAATAAAATTAAAAAAAAAAAAAAAGAAAAAACCCGCACATATACAAAAAAACAAAGATGTATATAACCTATACAAAGTTCAGCTTTTGAGAATTTAAGATTCTCTCCTCCATGATTTAATATTTTATTATTAAAAATGTCCTGTGGGGGCCAGGTACGGTGGCTCACATCTGTAATCCCAGCACTTTGGGAGCCCTGAGGTGGGTGGATCACCTGAGGTCAGGAATTCAAGACCAGCCTGCCCAACACAGTAAAACCCAGTCTCTACTAAAAATACAAAAAATTAGCCTGGCGTGGTGGACACTTGTATCCCAGTTACTTAGGAGGCTGAGACAGGAGAGTCACTTGAACCCTGGAGGCGGAGGTTGCAGTGAGCCGAGATTGTGCAACTGCACTCTAGCCTGGGCAACAGAGGGAGACTTCATCTTAAAAAAAAAAATGTTCTGTGGGGCCAGGAGTGGGTGGCTCATGCCACGTCTGTAATCCCAGCACCTTGGGAAGGTCAGCTGGCCAACATAGTGAAACCCTATCACTACTAAAAAAAAAAAAAATTAGGCTGAGTGTGGTGGTTCATGCCTGTAATCCCAGCACTTTGGGAGGCTGAGGCTGGTGGATTTACCTGAGGTCAGGAGTTTGAGACCAGCTTGGCCAACATGGCAAAACACCATCTCTACTAAAAATACAAAAATTAACTGGGTGTGGTGGCTACCTCGGAGGCTGAGGCAGGAGAATCTCTTGAACCCGGGAGACGAAGGTTGCAGTGAGCTGAGATCATGACACTACACTCCAGCCTCAGAAAAACAAACAAACAAAAATTAGCCAGGTGTAGTGGCCCATGCCTGTAATCCCAGCTATTGGGGAAGCTAAGACATGAAAATTGCTTGAACCCAGGAAGCACCATTACACTCCTGCCTGGGTGACAAGACTGCACCTGTCTCAAAAAAAAAAAAAAGTCCTGTGGTTGGCTGATTCTGTGAGAAATCCATGTACCCATCCCAACTGAGATCTTACCTGATCTTTTCTCTCGGGGCAGAACTGACCACTCTCTTCCTCTTGCTCATACTGTTTAATTTTTTTTATTTTTTGAGACAGACTTGCTCTGTGGCCCAGGCTGGAGGGCAGTGGCACAATCTCAGCTCATGGCAACCCTCCGCCTCCCAGGTGCAATTGATTCTCCTTCCTCAGCTACTAAGTAGCTGGGATTATAGACGCTCACCACCATGCCTGGCTAATTTTTATATTTTCAGTAGAGACAGGGTTTCTCCATGCTGGCCAGGCTGGTCTTTAACTCCTGTACTCAAGTGATCTGCCCACTTCAGCCTCCTAAAATGCTGAGATTACAGGCGTGAGCCACCACACCCAGCCCTTGGCTACACTCCTATGGTAGCACCTTCGACACATTAGTACACACATAGACATACACACACACACACACACACACACACACACACTCTTTAACATATCAAGTTCCTATAGTACAGGTTTTCTTATTTACCTTAATGTTCCCTACATCTAGGAGAGTACATGGAAAATATACAATAAATACTTTTATATGAATAAAAAGAGAGAAAAATTGCTTTTATGTGTTAAGCCAGGATAGCAGCAGTAGACTCCCAGGAATGAGATGCAGGGAAGGCCTGGCACAGCTGGTCATACTTGATCTTGACGTATAAAACAAATGAGTCATTCACAATTTACATTTTAATAATAAAAACTCCTGAGGCAAAATTTTGTTATAATAGTAAAAGAGTTACCTGAAAAGATGAAAAATTTATTTACCTAATGTAATCCATTGTCCAGAAGAATCTGAAAGTAACTTCAAATTGGGAATAACATTTGGGTCTTTGAAAAAAGCCTAAAATACAAATTTGAGGGGAACAAGTTAGATATTTCATTATAAATGACAGTAAAAATTAAAATAACTAATCTCATTTAATTCAAATAGGAAGGACAATTTTAATTGCTGAAATGTCTAAGTAATAAATAGTTTATAAATAAATGAAGTTTTATTACATTCAAGTTGGAATAGTATGAACATTGTGTGTCTAAGTACAGATGTCTTTGGAACTTAATTTAGAAAATAATGATATACAGTAAACATTAGGAGGTTATATAATATTTGAAAACTTTGTTTTTCTTCAGTCTTACTGAACTGCCTTAGTAACAACTCACATACTAGATCTAAATCCAAAAGTAACCATCAATTTAATTCTTTCTAAGAGGCATGTAAAAAAGTGAAGAATCTAACTTCCTAAAAATGAAAAATCTAATGCATGGCGAAAGACAGCAAAGCAGGTAAAGAGTTTTAGTTTCAGATCCTTTTGTAGTTTATGAGCATGATGACTGGGTGTTCATAGGCATGTGTGAGATATGCCACCCTCAAACCTTGTTATGATGTTGGCACATTGTCAGTCTGACATAAAAAAAGAAAAAAATACATTAAAAAGAGCAGCTGGCTGCAGTGGCTCATGCCTGTAATTGCACCACTTTGGGAGCCCAAGGTAGGTGGATCATCTGAGGTCAGGAGTTCAAAACCAGGGTGATTAACATGGTAAAACCCCATCTCTACTAAAAATATAAAAACTCAGCTGGGCATAGTTGTGCATGACTGTGATCCCAGCTACTTAGGAGGCTGAGAGGAGAATCGCTTGAACCCAGGAGATGGAGGTTGTAGTGAGCTGAGATTGCGCCACTGCACTCCAGCCTGGGCAACAGAGTGAGACTCCATCCCCCCAAAAAAAAGCTTTAGTTCTAGGCACCAGCAGCTGACCTAAGCTGAAAAGGTCGAAGAAAATTTATTAGAAGCATCTCAGGGAGTCCACAAAATATTCCAGAAGTGGAGGGCATCAGGCTGAAGACTGGATCCAGGAATGATCCAAAATCAAATGCAGAAATGCCCTTATGAAGAAACTGTCACCTTGCAGCCCCATCAAGCACTAGAGGAAGCTACCACCACACTTTCTCCCATACAAGTACTAATCAGGCCCAACCATACTTAGCTTTCAGTATCAGGCACTTTCAGGGTGGTGTGGCCATAAACATCAAGTACTAACCAGCCCCAATGCTGCTTAGCTTCCAACATTCAGGGTGGTATGGCCATAGACATCACCATTACTCCTTTCTAATCAAGGCCATTGCCGTGCCAGGTCTGCTCGGCCTGAAAGTGGTCTCTGCCACTACCTTTGCCAGTGAAATGAATTCTGTGTGTGCCTCCTTCCTGAAGCTGCTCACTTCAAAATTCCAGTCTTGCACTAATGAGTCTGTTTGTAAACCTAGCAGCAGTAGACTCCCAGGAATGAGATGCAGGGAAGGCCTGGCACAGCTGGTCATACTTGATCTTGACGTATAAAACAAATGAGTCATTCACAATTTACATTTTAATAATGAAAACTCCTGAGGCAAAATTTTGTTATATTTTAGATGCAAAAAATCTCCTTGCATTTTGGAGGTTTCACTTGGACTTTCCAAAAGTAAAGGGTAGAAGTTACCTCCAAATTGCAGAGGTGTTCACAAGGTGCTAGATAGCCAGAAAATATAATGCCCATGAAGAGCAATAAATAAAAGAAAAATAATAGACCGAGAGAAAATATTTGCAATATGTATGTTTAAAAGGAGGGAGAAACTGATATCTCTAGTGGTTAAAAAAAAAAGCTCAATGTAAGAAAAACTGACAAACCTAAATTTTCTTCTGCCTTTTCAGCTTGAGTCAGCTGCTGGTGCTTGAAACTAAAGCTCTTTTTTATTATATATATATATTTTTTCATGTCAGGAGGGTAATGTGCTGACATCATCACAAGGTTGAGGGTGGCACATGTCACTGAGGATAGAAATAGGCATATACAAAATAAAAATAGGGCTGGGTATAGTGGCTCAGGCCTGTAATCCCAGAACTTTGGGATGCCAAGGTGGCTGGATCATTTGAGGCCAGGAGTTCAAGATCAGCCTGGCTAACATGATGAAACCCTGTCTGTACTGAAAAAATACAAAAATTAGCTGGACATGGTAGCACACTCCTGTAATTCCAGTCACCAGGGAGGCTGAGGCACGAGAATTGCTTGAACCTGGGAGGTAGAGGTTGTAGTGAGTTGAGATTGTGTCACTGCACTCCAGCTTGGGCAACAGAGAGAGACTATTTCAAAAACAAACAAAAACAACCAACCAACCAAACAAACAAACAAATAAACAAAAAAAACCCCACAAATATCCAATAAACTTTAGGAAAAGATGCTCAATTTCAAGAGCAGTGAAATAAATGCTTTTATCCATTACATTGCCAAGATTTAAAAAGACTGGTAACTTTTGCTGAGAGTACCAGAATATATGCACTTTCACAAGCTGCTGACAGAAGTATGAATCTTTATAATCCTTTAGGAAAGTAATTTGCTATTACCTTAAACAATAAAAACATGCAACAAACTCTACTTTTCGGTTCTGAAACCACCAGTTAGTAAGATTTGGGTATAAGGAGTTTTTTTGTTTTAATATAGTACTGTTTGTAGTGTCAAAACTTGGAAATAATTTCAATGTTTATCAGTAGAAAAATAGCTGAACAAAATATAGTACATCTATATCAGACAGAATGCAGCTATTGAAAAGAAAGTATAAGAATAGAATGTAAGCTCCCTAAGAGCAGGGGTCCTGTTTTTCTTATTCACTGCTATGTCCTAGGACTTAGAATAGGGCCTAACATATAACACTCATTAAATAAACATCCGCTGAAAGAATTATGCATTGATTTTGAGGAAAAACCACAAATACTTTCAGTTAAAGAAGGGTAATTTAAGAGTAATATGGCCAGGCACAGTGCCTCATGCCTGTAGTCCCAGCCCTTTGGGAGGCTGAGGTGGCTCACTTGAGCTCAGGAATTTGAGACCGGCCTGAGCAACATGGTAAAATCCCATCTCTACTAAAAATACAAAAAATTAGCTGGGTGTGGTGGTATGCACCCGTGGCCCAGCTACTCAGGAGGCTGAGCAGGAAGATCTGCTAAAGCCCAGGGAAGCAGAGGTTGCAGTGAGCTGAGATCGCACCATTGCACTCCAGCCTGGGTGACAGAGTGAGGCCACATCTCAAGGAAAAAAAAAAAAAAGTAATGCATATGATAAAACAAAATAAAACCTCTATACATTTATATGAGCATAAAGAAAAGTTTGTAAGAATAAGCATCAAACTATTTGCTTCAGAGGTGGTGGTTACAGACTTGTGGTAAGAGGAGGGTTGAGAGGGTAGGACGCAGAAGTAGATTGGGGTAAGACTGACTTTTTCTATGAATTATTCTTCGTTGTTTAAATTGTTACAATAAATATTTTCATTTTTTCAACATTCTCTTCAAGTGATCATTCACTTTTCCTAAATACCTTCTTGAGAGAGGAATCTAAACTGTCTCACTTCTTTTTTTTTTGGAGACAAAGTCTCGCTCTGTCGTCCAGGCTGAAGTGCAATGGTGCGATCTTGGCTCACTTCAGCCTCCACCTCCTGGGTTCAATTGATTCTCCTGCCTCAGCCTCCAGAGTAGCTAGGACTACAGGAGCATGCCACCATGCCCAGTTAATTTTTGTATTTTTAGTAGAGACAGGGTTTTGCCATGTTGGCCACGCTGGTCTCAAACTCCTGAGCTCCTGAGATGGAGGCGACCTGCCCATCTCAGCCTCCCAAAGTGTGGGGATTACAGGTGTGAGCCACTGAGCCCAGCTTCACTTCTTTTATCTACCTCTCGTTCCTCTTTCTCTCTTTTTTTTTGTTTTGAGATGGAGTTTCACTCTTGTTATGCAGGCTGGAGTGCAATGGCATGATCTTGGCTCACCGCAACCTTCGCCTCCCGGGTTCAAGCAATTCTCCTTCCTTAGCCTCCTGAGTAGCTGGGACTACAGGCACGCGCCACCATGCCCAGCTAATTTTTGTATTTTTAATAGAGACAGTGTTTCACCTTGTTGACCAGGATCTCGATCTCTTGACCTTCGTGATCTACCAGCCTCGGCCTCCCAAAGTGCTGGGATTATAGGCATGAGCCACCGTGCCCAGCCTCTCATTCCTCTCTATCTGGCTCCTGCTCCTATCACTTAAAGAACAGTACCCTTGACTTCATAATACTAAAATCCAATGGACAGTGCCTGCCCTCAGGGGCAGGCAGATAGTAAGGGAGGAAATAATAACATGCCATCAATACTATAAAAAAGTGCAAGTGTAACATGCTACCAATACTACAAAAAAGTACATAATGGGCAGACACAATCTAATGCTACTGGGAAGAAATGTTACTATAGAAAGAACATTTAAGTTGTGGGAACATGTGCAGAGTGTGCAGGATTGTTACACAGGTATACACATTCCATGGTGGTTTGCTGCATCCATCCCTTTGTCATCTACTTAGGTATTTCTCCTAATGTTATCCCTCCCCAATCTCCCTACCCACTGCTATCCCACCCCTGACCCTTCCACCCCCCAGCAGGCCCTGGTGTGTGAAGTTCCCCTTCCTGTGTCCATGTGTTCTCATTGTTCAACACCCACTTATGAGTAAATCTCAATCCTTAAATTCTTAAGTACTTTTTTAATTGAAATTTTTATTAAAGTATAATAATAAAAAAAGTACTTAAGAATTTAAGGATTGAGATTTAATAAAATTTTTTTTACCACTTTAAAAAAAGAACATTTAGCTTTACATCAGAAAGTTGAGTAGGAGTTAGCCGGGCAAAGAGGTATACTAGTAAATGTTTAACCATTGGCCATCCTCCCTCAAAAAGCCCTGATTGTAGCATTTGCCTGTTTCCATGATAGATTTCAGGTTGCCAATAGTTTAATAACCAGTAAACAAAGATTCCTGAAAAAGTAGCAATCAGGCTCTCCTAAACTGATTCC